CTCTTCGTCACTACATTCTTCTAGTACATCTCGTTCGATCTCGCCGTCTGCCCTTCTTACGTTCGTTCCAGTCTCATTGTACGCGCATCCGTAAAATCGTTGCGAATTTGCCCCTTTTTTTTTTTCGCGCTCGTGCTGTTCATCGCCAGTTCCGTCCCACGATCTATGTCGCGTCGGTAGATCGAGATTAGTTAGCATCGATCGGGAGGTAAGGAGCGCGGCTGATTCTCCCATCGATAAGAGAAATTTCGGCGATCGCGATGAACCACCAATTGCTATTCGTTACCATTGTTCAGATACTTTTCTCCCGAGTCCCGAGTCTCTTCGTGGCTCGAGTACGTCTGCTATAACATCTATAAGAACGATTTTATCCTTTGCGCTAGGAGCTTCGATTCTCGGTCGACGGAGAAATGAAAGAAGCGGACTCTTATTCTTACATTTTGAATTTGTAATAGATGGCCTCGAAGGATCATATATGCGAGAGTTATGTGTCATAATAGTTCCTAATTTTCAGACTTTTGCGAATAAGCGACCATACGAAAATTCCTCTGATGTTTCAGCCTATCTCCTGGCAAAGGTGACTGGGGATTCAAATTGGTCTTGAAGGTTATTTATGCTTGTCAATTTTTTTGCTTACAGCTTTCCAAAGCCTGTAGTCATACTTCAGTAGCGAAGAATATGCTGAATCGAAATAGTCAAGTAATCAATTTAATTCATTATGATACGTACAAATTTACGATTTCTTTGATAAAAAATTGCCGAAAGTAAGAAAGATTAAAATCTTGTGATACTGAATTCCATTGTAGCACAGTTATGATTTAGAGAACGTTGTTTTATAATGTTGCAGTGATAGTTATTTTTTTTCTGAGTACGGATAATGTTTGAAAGAGCGGAATGATCATTTACAGTATGCTGAAATGATTGTAGACATATTTCAATAATACGTGATTGCCGCTGAAGATACGAAAATTATTTTAGTTCTCGTATATCCAGTGCAATCGAAGAAAGGAGAATGAGAACGATAGTTAATATCGATTTGTGTCTTATTAATGGCGTTGATATTGAAGTAGCGTATTCTGTGTGAGAAAAGATTGCATTTAATGCTGAGATCTAACGTAAAAAATTACGTAATATTGTATCGTTATTAATGATTAACTGAAATTGCTATTGACGCGTATCGACGTGAAAGCGCAAAGCTTGTAGGATCGGAGGTACGATGTGAGAAATACATTCAATATTCACAGGGACTGTTAAATTAGATTTTAAGTGTTGTCTTTGCGTTTAATCTGGATATATTATATTGGAATGTATTATATCTTGATTTGTTTTCTGTTAGTGAAATACCAATCATTATACAAAATATTAATATTATAATTTAATTCCGAGTATTGCATTTTACACAATTCTTTGTATACCATTAAATTGAAGCCTCTTAATGACCTTTTAATGTATCATGACACATGATAACAAAAAAGGATAGGGGATGTATTTGATTGAAATAATCTCAATAATGCAATCACAGTCAAGTTGATTAAAAAGCAAATGAAAAATATAAAAATAAGTTTTATCAATCATTATTGGGTATATTATAAATTGGCTCTCCGAGAATATTCTTCTAAATCACAATTTTTTTTTAATTTAATGTAAGTATAATTATAATATAACTTTCCAAAAAATAATTTTATACTTGCATCTATTGCCATGACACGAATGTTAAGTTACCCCAAGATTACGACAAGCGAGTCATCGAGTTCAGATAACGCGTATCCTACAATACTCTTTTATAAAATATCCAAATCTCCCACACATTCCTTCATTATTCATATTCGCCATTCTATACTTCTCTCTCATTATAAATGTTTAGACCAAAGTCTTAGGCCAGTGCCGAAGGAGTTGCTACTAGTTTTAGGCCAAAGTCTAGTGTGTATGATGTAATCAAAGTTGAAATTTTCAAAATTTCGTTCTCCCTTCTATCATTCCACAATGCATGTTCAAATTCAGACGAAGAAGGCTACTCGCCTCAATTCTCGTTGAACTCGCCGATCATATATTCATGGGTGCTTATACATTCGGGTCTTTTCATGTACTCCTATGAAAAAAAAAGCTAGATCTAGCAGGTAATCAAGAATGTTCCAAATATGTTAAATTAAATAAGACTATTTTTTCTTTTTTTATATATATAATAATTTTAGATTCTCTCTTTAAATATAGGAAAGGGTATCGGTTAATAAAGAAATAAAAGTGAAATGACGCAAAATCAAACGCAAATAAAATTTCAATTCATTTTCTCATTTTATTGTCGTAATTAATAAATAAAATAATAATCAATAAATCGACCATTAATCAATTAAAAAATAGTGACTCGTGACTAGGTTAAGACTCACCGCTTGCAAAAAGATATGTGTGTACGTGTGTTTTTTTTTTTTGTGTATGGCCCAGTATAAACTACTCAAGGGCATAATTTTAATAATTATTATTATAATAACTAAATGTATATAATAACTAAAAATAGAGCGTAATGTCAAGCACAGAATAAATAAGCTTGACAAAGGAAACGGCAAAGTAGTAGAGGAAGAGAACTTGTAAAAATGAGATAAAAAGAAAAATTAGTAGCATGAAAGAGCGGCGTGAAAATTGCATATGAAAAAGAAGGCAGGGTTAATTTTAAATTAACTAAATGTTCCATAAATGACAATTTCAACAATGACAATAATAATATTAATTATAATAATTTCGTATTAAAATTGTCATATTGATATAGATAATAGTGAGTCTAATAATAATATAATAATATATTAATAATAATATAATAATACAATAATAATAGCAATATATAATAATGATAATAATAATAATAATAATAGTAATAATAATAATAGTGCATGTAGTAGCGCGAATAATGATGAAAAAATAAGAATTAAATTATGTGCATTCGCTACTACTCGAATTATCCCTAATATTTTTATACCGTCTTGTAATTATCTACAGAAAGTTCTAGCGAAAAAATAAGGTCACAAATAAGAGTATAGGGGCGCCGTCCTTGATTTCTCGCATGTTCGCGCGCATGGTGCAGGTTAAATACATGTAAGTGACGTGCGTGTCCGTAAGTCTGTACGTATAAGATGGGTCAGAGATTAATATAAACGAAGAAAAGGAAGCGCGGTTATGCAACCCTCTGGCGCATGTTTTCTTCACGCTACTTAAATCACGCCAGCATCCGTTTCTTTTTCGCTTTAAAAATCTAATATTTATATAATTATCGCATCGGCGCACGATTATATAGCATTTCATTCTTTTAGCTTTCTTTTCTTTTCTTTTCTTTTTGGACTTGCAACGCTACAGTTTGAATGCTGCCGGCGCACGATTCTCATACATTGCATCCGACCTGCAACTTCGTCGCCCTTACTACTCCTAATCTCGTCACTACGACTAGCCTAATCTCATTTATACAATCAACCATTAATAAAAACAGCTATATATATTGACCCGTGCACCGATTCTCTTAATGCAACATCTCGACAAACGTACTCTTTATCGACTCGACAAGTAATGTTCAGCGAGCGAAAAGAAAAAAAAAGAAAGAAAATGGAGAAAACAAAAAATGGAGGAATCTCTTCCTCGGCAGATAGGAACAGGTTCTTTGTGCGGAAATTATTATGAGCAGTCGCTCAGTTACTCGTACGACGTTACGCATTTGATTCTCGTGAAGTCGATTCTTTGGTATCGATGTGTGCACGATCATTTCATCGTGCCGTTTCCTACATGATTCTCTCATGCGGTGTAATTTAATAGCCAAGCATTTTCACGTCGATCTCAAACCTCGTTGATCAGTCATATGCGGTAAAACGAAATTTGTAATATAGTTATTTATAATATAGGGAAAGATTGATATCTATTTTGGTAACGGATAACTCGAGGTAAACCTCGTATTTTTAAATAATGCATTGGAAATTTTATTTTTCCTGAAAAAAAGAAGAAAACATGTGTATGCTGCAGAATTGCCTTCTTATCGACGTATGAATTGTAATTAACGGTGTTCATCATACGGCGATAAGAAATTTTCCAGAATTTTATCAGAGAATATCGATCTTCGCAAAACCGAAGTTACTTGCAGAGTTCAAAATAGGATTATCCGAAATAGTCTTAGCGCAAGGTTTTCTCCTCATCCACAAATATTTCTCTACAGAAACGATGCAGGACAAGAAGCTGTTCGTCCTGCATTGCCTCTGATCGACGAAGATTCCACTTCCAGGTCTCGCTCGAACCAGAAGAGGAATCGCCGTGCGATGTTCAGACTTAGTCAATCTTTGGATATGCTCGCAAACGTTTCAAAAGTTTCCATTTTTCTCTGTTAGTATAACTCCAGCGGTGTCATCGTCTTTAAAATCCCTATTCTTATCGTGTGATGTAAAATTAGGCGGTAACGAAGTAATTACTCTACGTTACAAACAGATCGGACAAAATCGACGCTAAAAGCTATTCTCGCCATTCGTTGACCACGCATTCGTCGTGCTTCTTCGTCTCATCCCAGGAATCACCTTCTCGTGCTCGTACAGTTGAAACAAGAGGAACGTCGATGAGCGTTCGACATTTTGGCGACTGTCGAGTTTCGTCAGCCGTAGATTCGCAGTATTTTTTTAATGGACGTATGTCTATGTATGTGTATGTTCGTGTGCACATGTGTATGCGTACGTTTCTTCTGTCTTTCCTGTTTGATTCGTGATTCAGTCACAGCCTGATCCTTCGTTGGCATCTTGACGTCGACCACGGACGTCGATGGTGCCTCTGTTCCTTGGCTTTGTCCGTATCTCCTCTCCTTTCCTAGCCCTCGTTCGTTTTGCGATATGTTATTTAAGGATACCTGAACACGCACTACGTGAAGGACGTGTACCTCCTGGCGGATGCGATCCTCCCTCGTTGGTCGTTCCTGATTATCGGGAGCCGACGAGCGCGGGCGAACCCGCGCACCACGAAGAGCAAGAGCCACGCGACCTCCTGATTCATTCGAGCTGCTCCAGGAAGTTCGGACTCTTGAAGTACTCCGGTACTGGATCGTCCAACCTCGAAATCACCTTGTAGATGGACTTCTTCCAGCTTTGCTCGGAGTCCTTACCGCCCTGAATCGCCTTGAAAAACTCTTTCAACGTCTGTTCCACAACGTACCTAAAGTTGCTGGGTACCTGAAAATTCCACGTCACTGTTAGCAGTCGCAGTTGCAGATAGCAAAGTACATATTGATTTTACAACCCAAATATTTTTATAACAAGAAACATCACTGTGAATGTCACAACGTATAATATTCCGCATAATGCAATTTTATGAAAAATGTATTTCTTCTTTAAATTTTAGTCATATACTCTTTATCTTTGATTCGTTTTATCCCAAATTATCCATCTTCAAATAAATACGAAAAAAGCATAATGTATTACATAATTTATTAAAATAATACTAAATTAACTATTAATTGAAGGGCTGCAATAGAAATATTACATACAATTTAAGAATCTAAGAAAATTAATGTAAATTAATTTTTTCCAACGTTGAGAGTGATTTATTTAGTTTATTAAAGGAAATTAAATATCTAACATGTGCACTGAACCTTTCAACTAATAGTGTTATAAGTATAGAATTTCATTTCAGGCAATAAATATCTTGCGTATATACTTTTTATGATAAAACGTGCAAACACAATCATAGTTACAGTGAACCACAAAGACGCACGTAAAATATTTTATGTAAACGATAAACACTAACACCGAAAGCTTAATTTTATAAAATCAATCGATCGACAAACCGACGTTCGATCTCTATGTAGCGAAGATATATACATGCTCGTCTTTTCTCGCAATTTACGAAATAATATCGGTAGAAAAATAAAATAAAATGTAGCGTGTGCGTGTTCGTGTTGCGCACCTGGGGACCCCATACCTCAATGTGGTTATTACGGTTGTAGTGAAGGTTGAGAACCCGGTAGATTTCGGAGTCGCCACCGACTCGGAGATCCTCGGCGTTCTTCACGCCCTCCGAAACTGCTTGTCTCGCGTATTTCTCCATTTGGATATAGTAGAACTCCCTGAAATAAAATAAAAAAAGCGCACACTGTTAAACAACGCAGATTGCTTCGTTAGTTCGCAGAAATGTGTATAAATGCTAAATACAATTTAAATATTTCTATATAATACGATTTGGCACATGGATTAGTATGAATTTTAATATAAGAATGGCTGGCTCGATGTACGAGGTTGTCAATTAATAATAAATCTTTCTACGTCATCGCGGTTGATTCTTGTCTCGCCTGGTTTCTCCGCGACAGACAGTAACAACGCTAATGCGTCATCGATAATTAATTAAAGATCGATGCTAACATTGGTCTGACGTAAGCGGAAGAACATGAAAAAAGAAGGAAGGGGACGACGCACATGGAGAGCTCTATGCGAAGCTCTTCTCGACGTTAAGCGGACAGAGACGCAAAGAAACGATGAAAAACCTATCGCGTCAGCCACATTAAAGACACGATGCTCTCGCAATTCCAGCCAGTGACGTATAATCAACGCAAAATTACGCAATCTCTTTTCGTTCAGTCTACGGCAGGAAAAATCGCTCGTTTCGGAGTTACCTTTACGTTCATTAATTAATGCGGAACAACAAACGTGACTCGTTAATTGATGTATAATTGATATAGAAACAGCGATCCGAGCTTTCGAACGAGAAAACAAACGCGAAGGGTATAGCCCTCCTTGCAAACAACGTGCGTGGAAGGAGAAGAAAAATATAAAAAATACGAACGCACTGTACGCGTCGAGGAAAATTATTAATACGAAGTTCAGACCATTTTTTTCGCAGATATTTACCGTCGTTTTTAATTCCGTTTGGAAGCTTTTCAAGCGCTTTCGTTAAATTCCGAGTTTGCAATTACATTGCTTATGTATGTAATATTTTTAACATACCTTATTCACATTATAAATGTGCAACTAGAAAAATGTACAATCTAAGTTTTTTAACGTCAACGATTGTTTATGCTTTTTTATTGATTTTCTGCTTCTGGGCTCATCTTTAGGTGCACATTAGCATTAGTCGAGTATTTTCGTAGAATCAGTAGCGCAGTTGTTGGCTCGATCCCTCGGGAATGCAAAAGTGAAACAGTTCAATGAGAGAGCACGATTTGTGTAAGTCATCGTCGTTGAATACTCGACAATGTAAAGCTGCAACTGCTCGTTTAGCGTTTGTCGAGAGTAATTTTTAAGATTGCTTTCGCCTGACGGATTGAAACCTTATTTGCTAGAGAAAATAGCAATTAACAAATAGGATGCTTAGCGATGTAAATTAGTAAAATATTGTTCAACCATGTCGAGCTATTCAAATTCCGTACTCGCACACGAAATCTGGATAACTGGTCCATACCAAGCATCGTTTTTTATCCGTCATGCTTATAGAGATTGAGGAAGGTCAGGAACCTTTCTCTTGTCGAAGAAAACAACGCGTTCTTCCGGAACGTTCACTCTATTCAAAGCCGTTGAAAGAAAGGAAGCGGCGATAGACGAGAGAAGGACTCTCTTCTCGTTCGATCATTCCGAATTGGTTTTACTGCCAATTAAGATAATTTCGCGTGCTCTTATCAGCAGTCAGTCGGAGAAAGTTACGTACGCGAGAAGAATCGGAAGAGGAGTTCCTCCATCCCATCCATACCGTCTCTCTTCATCTCCTCGAGCCATCACCGACACCACCCATCGGCGAGCCGCCCCGACTTCGCCCTATACGTGTGTTACCTGCGCCTATAATCCTTACTCAACCACCCATCGACCGCATTCAAGCTCGTCGGATCGCCAAGTATAGGCGGAATGTGGCGGAAGTAGTGGTAGACTGCGTCGCTTACGTATCTACGTTAACGTCGTATATCCTGGCGCACACGCGATACTTATATACGTGCGACACACGTATCTACGGAGTGCCTAATTAAAACAGACACCCGCGGAGACATAGAGAGAGAGAGAGAGAGAGAGCGGGACGAGAGACGAGACTGGCCGCATAATGGGGTGCGCGAGGGCGTGAGGGAGACGACGTTAGTTCCGTAGTCTGTTTGACAAAAAGCCCGAGTGCCAGAATTGCCACTCTTCGACCACCAAGTGCAGAGGATAAGAGCAACGGTGAGCGAGAGAGAAACCCGACGGCAAGAGGGAAAGATAGGGAAATGGATGCTACGGATGACGGGGGAGGGCAAACAAGCGAACGAGTGAGCGAGAACGTATGCTAGAGGGTGAGCCGCGGGATCATTCATTATAGTATTGTATAATTAGGATAATAATAAGCTCTCTTCACACAGGGTTTTCGTGCGCTCCATTGCGATGGGGCGATTCTCAAGCGAAAATAAAAAGGAGAGAGTGAGAAAGAAAAATAGCAGAAAAGAAAATAAATCGATAAGAAGAGAGAGAAAGCAAGAAGGCACAAGTCTCTGTGAAGGTGTTGATTATTAATGTTTAATTACGATGCGCTTCATCAACCTAAAAGAAATGTGGAGATCGTTCCAGATTCTTCGAAACAAACGTGTCTATTTGATCTCTTATTCTCTCTCTCTCTCTCTCTCTCTCTCTCTCTCTCTCTCTCTCTCTCCCGCTTCTCTTGTCGTTTTGTTTCATTCTTTCATTCATTGGAATAATTTAAACTAATTTAAAGCAAATTGTATTCGCGACATTTGAGATAATTGTATTTAGAAGTTTTTTTTTTCAAACATTTTATCTGAGATATGATATTTAATTGAATAAGTTACACTTCATCGTTTATTTTATCTTAAATTTTATCATAAACATGACAGAAAAAGAGAAAGAGACAAGTGAAACGGACACAGAGGTGTCATGTATTGAGGCAGTTAATGGTAACAGCGTTTGTCGACGACGCGATGCCTCCTTCCGTGATCTTCATCGTTGTCAGTCGCTTTTTCAACGCGTCGCAGTCGCTTTTATGGTGCGTTGCTCCACGGATATGCGAAAGCACCAATTAAAAGGGGAACTCCCGACCACTCGAAAGTTTGTTTTTTTACAACCGCATCATTCCGTAATCATTCGGTTTATTTAAAATAAAAAGCACATACGGGTCAACATATTGATGAAAAAGAATTAAATTGGAAACAATCGATAATTCTCATATGATATTTTAGAAAATATATCGTGAAACTTATTTCTTTTCAGACGAAAAGAATCGATGAATTAAAAAACATTACATTCGTTATAGACCGAACGAGAAATTTTACTAGAAATATAATACAGAGACTGCATAACGATAAAAAGCACAGTCATATTTTATTGCAAAGAAATGTTTTTTTTTTTTAAACAAAATGCTGAAAAGTTGCACTACAAATTTAGAAATTAAATCTCGATCCTTTAAATGTGTCAAAGATGAAAAGGAGAGATGGAGAAAGAAGAGATACATTTCACATTCTAAGCGAGAGCAAGATTTGCATCGCGACTTTAAGAAATAGGGCGGGCAAGGACGCGACGAGAAGTCGTATGCCTTCTGTCGGTTTGCAATATACATTGCGGTGAGCGTCTTCTCGCCTTACAATCTCCCTCTTTTCGATGTCTATTCAAGAAACGTGCTTCTTAAGCTACCGAACCAGCCAGCCAAGCCCCCTTTAACGGTTACAACCAAGTCGGTAGACCTTCGACAATAGCGAGCGCCGCAGCCCTCGAAGACGCGACTTGACGCCGAACGTTTGAATCCCTATAACCATCACGGTTTTCTTGGCGAAACTTTCCCACGGCATTCCCCCTTACAAACGCTGGAAGAAACTTACGAGTCCATTCGCTATTGGCAAAAATCCATAAAGGAGAAAAATTCTAAAAGACCCCTTTTTCATACGATTATTCCCAACGATCTAGAATTTCTACAATCTGTAAAGTTATCAACGGTTACCTTGAATATTATTAATAAATATGTTAAGTCAACGCGTCGTATGATTATTTTGCGCGTATAACTGACGTTGTCAGCTGATAAAGTAATCGTCGGCCGTAACCACATCGCCGGCTGCAAGCAGCGGAAGAAGCCGTTAAAGAATTCGAGAGGAACTACCGTCGTCTACCGGCGCGGCGCTCACGCTCTACTTTATCGCCGCGACGCGAGACAGGAGGAGGTCACGAGGCGTGAAAGTGCGTGTAACGAGAGAGCATTAAGCGTCCGCGCGTTAGAATTCGCGCGCGAGCGCGTCCATGCGCGGGTGGCCGCGCGTGGTAGATGCGTGTCGCGTCTTCTCGCTCGTGCGTCGATGAGCGTGGCGCGGATGGATGAGCGACTACGCGCGTTTGCCCGCTGGGGCGTAAGCGTCCATTCAGAGGGCGCGTTCAAAAAGGTGTCGCGCAGGGTCTTGATGTTGTGCCGCTCGCGTGCACCCTTCTTAATTAGTAATTAACACTTTAATGCTGTCTGCACTCAGAACCCGCGCTCGCGCCGGTCTCAACTTTAAAGTTTTCGTCGACGTCACGAAAAATCATGCGACTAATACAAGTGATTACCACTTTTACACGCGTCGCTCTTCGATAAACGCGATGCAGAGTGCTGAGGATCGTCAAATACATCGATCGCTGCGCCAAAGCTATCCCGCATCGTTTTTTCAAACAATGGTACTTAACATGTTTGACGATGATCGAACGATTAGTGAAATTGCTTACGAGGGTAAATCACTTCATTGCAATCGCTATCGTGCGATCTCGCGTTGATGTTTCATATCGTTATGTGTTGCCTTTAGAATATATCTCACATATTAATCTTATATATTCTATAGTGAACACAAGTTAATAAATAAATATCCTCGACACTTTAGAATACGTTCGTTACATTCGTCGTATACGTGATTTCAATACACGTTACTTCGCAATCGCGCGTGATGAAAGTGGCGCCACTACTTGGGGAAGATCTTGCTCTATTCTCGCCGGTGGACACGCGTGTCCACGTCCCGCACCACGTGCATCGTCACCCCGTCGGCTAAGCCGCCTTTTTTTTTTTCACGAGCAAGTTTCCTAAGCCTGCGAGACAATCGACCGGCGATCGCACGGCAGATGTGCCCCCGACAATAAGCTTCTGGGC